AGTAAAAATTTATCATCTTGTTATGAATGGCTGGCAGATAATAGGTTATCTTTACATATTGGTAAAACAGAAGTCATTTTGCACTTTTGTATTGTTTGTCTGTGTGCTCTAAGATGTTTTGTGTAAATTCTCTGTTTTTTGCTGTGAGTTACTAAAAATATATATGTAGTATAGTGTTTTTGTAACATGTAGGGATTGCATATATATATTGTAAAATTAGATAATGTCTCGTTCTGTAGGAGGAGATAAGGATTCTAAAAAAGTAAGGACAAGTCAAGATTGTAATGCTCGCCCGCATGTTGGCGCACAGGAATCTATCGAACACACCTGCGCATGCCGTTACTGTGGTAAACCTGTGAAGGAAAAATGATTGGGCTGTAAATTGTAACATATGCGATAAATGGATGCATGATACGTGTGCAAAGATTTCAAATTCTGATTATAAATTGTTAAAGCAGAAATGACAACATGTATTTAAATAAACTGTGACGATGTTTAGCTTAAATAAATTACATATACTGTTTTCGAAATAAAAATCGAATAAATTTGATAGTAAACTGTTATGTTTAATTTAATAAACAATGTGCAATTTTTTGTGATATGTTTGTTGTTTGTGCATTGCAAATGCGAACACAGCATTGTGTAGGCCTTGCTTGGTTGGTGGGCAGGCGTAGCCTAGTAAATGTTGATCACCAAATACCATTCGGCTACCACGCGTTTAGGCTTCGGAGTTTATAATTTATTAAAATCTATTTCGTGTCATCCCTCTAGTTTGGGTTTACGAATATAATACGACTCTTTTTTAGAGCGAAATATAGAAAAATTATTGCAGTATTTTTGTTCTGTCTGTCTAAGCTTTGCGAAATTCAAGCGTAGATAATTAATGCTGGTAGCATGTATCACGGTAACCCCTTTGATAACATATTTTCACAACTGTTACATTTCACTAAAGTGCATGAATCATAGCCTGACACTTTGCTTAACGACATTCATATTCAAGTAACTTATTACCATTCACAGATCGTTTACCGTGAGTCATACAATTACAACCTATGAATGGTTTACGATTTAGTTAACATAATTTACTGTTAAAGTAGAGTGAAATATCCTAATATTGTGACAATGGGTTCCATTAAATTACAATTATTTCATTTTGTTTTTTTACAAGAGCCTTTTCTTGAATTTCTGAGACAGGGGTTTGATCTTCATGTACTATTTTACCTGATGCCTTTGTTATTTTATTTAGGGGTCGTTTACAATTATCAACATTTTCACAAGTGTACAGACAGTACTCTTTTTTGGCACCTTCTCCCTCCCCTCTGTATATAAACAAGAAATACTTATACTGTACAGCTGATTTGTATTGCAAACTTTATAAGATAACCTACAGTATTCTTGAGGATGACCTACCATCTTCAGGGCATTTTTGATGTGATATGACTGATAAAAATATCCTACAGGAATTGGTCTACGACTGGTGTGACAATGGCAACCCCTAGACGTAATATAAACTCTATCATATGGCCGACTTTCAGCTTAGCCTAGGCTGGCTAGGCCTTGTAGTAGTAGGCCCTACTAAGTACTAGCTGCAATGTCTCGAACTCATGGTATGATAGCCATTTTTTTTCAGCAACTACAACTCCAAGAACCCTTTAACAACATAATCACATATCAGTGATTAGAATAATATACGGTAGTATCATTTTCAATTAACTTGCAAATAAGATTAAGATCTTCTTAATTCAACATAAACAATACAACTCAGTATTCTTCAATCAACCTTTTAGGCTTTTTAATCTGGACTTCATCTGATTTGTCTTCTGATTTATGTTATACTCCTGATTAACCACTGTTTCTTAAAGGTGTGTTATTAATTGTTTGTTTTTGTGAATCAATCATTTTTGCATGTGTATCTTAACTGTGTCTGTATTTTCTGTTGTGATGTTTGTGGGTCTTATGATACTCTCTGGATCTTGTGATTTTACACTAGGTTTTGTAACACTTGTTTCTAGCAAGTCTGCTAAAACATGGAATATAATAAGACATATTATACCAACTTACCATCGAAAAAGAAAAATGAACATACTCAAATTATTTGCAATGGTAAGAAAATTCCAATGGATGATAAGGAAATAGCAAATGTCTTTAACAACTATTTTTCAAATATTGGTTCTGAACTTGCAGCCGGTATAGATAAGCCCAAAAGTATTATTGATTATGATTAAAGGGAACCCCTTACTGAAAAATCATTCAATTCTGAACCAGTGTCATGCGAATTTGTCTTTAAATATCTGAGTAATCTCTCAACAAATAAAGCAACTGGTGCTGATAATTTACCTCCATATATTTTCAAAATTGCTGCTCAATTCGAATCTAAGAAACTATCGTCCTATTTCCATATTACTGATAATTTCAAAAATAATTGAATGTGCTGTTTTGATCAGTTGTATGCATACTTAAATACTATATAACTTAATATATGAAAATCAATCAGGTTTTCGCCCATCGTACTCCACATCCACATCTCTTGCCAATTTTACTGAAAATTGGTATACTGATATCGATGAGGGCAGGATGGTCGGTCTGTATATGCTTGATTTCAAAAAAGCATTTGATACGGTAAACCACCAAATCTTATTAAGTAAATTAAGACTCTATGGACCCAATTTACAAATGTCAATGATGCATTATCTGAACGTACTGTCATTAAATGTAGAGTACCTCAGGGCTCGATCGTTGGCCCTCTGGCTTTTCTTATATACATAAATTGTTGTTAGAAAATGTAGTCTTAACATCCCTAAATCAGAATTCATGCTAATTGGTTCAAGTCAGAAACTCTCAAAAATTGAAAACAGAGAATGTTCAATCAACATAAATAATGTTCAAGTTCCTAGAGTTTGCTACACCAAAAATCTGTGTGTAAAACTTGATGAAACATTAAAGCCCCATTCCCGGCAAAATTTCACTAAAAATTGACTTTTAAAAAAAAATATGCATTTGCATTACTCCAATTATTATAAATCATGGAAAAATATTGGCATGAATTTTAGTTTTACGCAAAAGAATTAAAAAAAAAAGAGAAATACAGACTATTTCTCATAAAATATTACCATTTTCTCGACGAATTCATCGTTACTAGGCAAATTCAGAGGTTGTAGATCGCATCCACTGGAATACTCACGCTTTTATTTATACTTTATACAGTCAATGAAGTGCGCCCTCTCTAATGAGATTACTTTTTGTACTTCGCATCTCGCACAATGCGGTCGTTCGGTTAGGCTGAGATTTGTTTGTTTAAGTGTCAAAATCTCAGTCAGAATAAG